TGCACACATGACTGGAGAGCATTGCCAATGAAATAATTTAAGGCAGTATGTAACAAAACAATACAACATTAATGATAACTAGTATATATCAAGAATCATAGAATACATGCTATTCTGAGCTCTGTTGTATTAGAAAAGTTGTGAAATTTCAAATAACTTGAAAGTCATGTCATATCTCTGAGATGCATACTGGCAGTCATATATTTAAAAATCAAACAATTAAGATAAAACTTGGATAATTCAATAATAGTGCTATGTTTGAGGTTACAGTAAAACATGTTTCAACCACACCCTGTGTAAGCAGTCCTATTCTCTACAAACTTGCTTGTATATAAAAGAACATAGCGTAATTATTACAACCTTGCCCACTGAGAATCTAGACAATAAATGGAAGGACGGCTACAAAGTAATGATCTTTGATCTTTTCTTTTCAAGGCAAAGTTCGTCCTAGAACAATGTAATAATATATCTTAACATTTTGTGCACAAAATACAAAATAAAATTTAAGTGGGAACAATATTTATGTTTCTCAAATAATACTACATGTACTGTGTTAATCTCAGTGTCCTTTATAGAAAATATAAACTATAATTGTATAAAAGTTCCAAAAAATAATAGTAATATTAATTTTAAATAATCTAAACATTTTGTGCACAAAATAATAAATAAAATTTAAGTGGGAACAATACTGATCAGAAGTGGAGTAATATTTATGTTCCTCATATAATACTACATGTACTGTGTTAATCCCAGTGTCCCTTATAGAATAATATAAACTATAACTGTATAAAAGTTTCTAAAAAATAAAAGTACAGTAATACAGATAAGCAAAATTTGGCAAGAAAAATAAAGTACACTTAATTGTCACTTTTGTTATTTATACTACACCATGAAAACATATCAATTTAACAATTGTCTAATTGACAGATCTTATTACCAACATCTGGTTATCATTATTAGCAATGTAAATGTCTTCATTCTGTCCACAAATGTTATAATTCAGAATAATTTCCCCTATGTCTTAAAAATTGCACATGCTAGTTACACAAAAATTTAACTTGTTGATATTTCATAGTGATAAAAATTCCAAATTTGAAGATAAAGTTGTTGTAACCACAAGAAAAAGAGTTTAAATAGGGACAATGACAAGGACAGACATGTTCCTCTAATACCTTGACCTTCATCAACAATGATACAGACAAGATAAAAAACCTCAATAAACTAAACACCACAGTCTGCCAATCAAACTTCCACAGTCCTTATGGTGATGATTTAGACACATTTCAAGCATGGCTATCCATCAAACTCCATAGTTCATTTCATTTTCATAAAAAGTAGCACCATCTTTCAACAACTTTCTCCCAAAGAATGCTAGCAAAAGTGCAACTCGTTCATGCCAGGGTTAGGTATTTGCAGACAATACAACAGAAAGCAACACTGAATATTTTGTTCAAATTCATGGCATATGACATGTTTTTTTAACATAATTGTTTTCTTGGAAATGAACATCAAGCCTGAATACCAATGGTTATCACCTGGACTTCTATAACCACATAATTTCACACATTTTGGAAACCCACCCCCAAAAAATCTGTACAATGCATTAAGCATAAAAGCAACTGCTTTCTATATAATTTAAATCATTAGAAAAGAAAAATCTGTTGATACAATGTAAATTACAATATCTGAAAGTCATCTCAGTTTTCAGCTTAATATGAAGCAGAAACTCTTCAATGCAATGTTTGCATGCATTATTTTGAAAATGAATAAAAACATTCTGACATAAGATGGCCATTTCTTGCCCGTTATGTCCCGTTTACTTTGACAAAAACAAAATCTTGGTCACATGGGCAGTTAAATATCCATTTCATGGGCTGATACCCCCTGCATGTCATGAGTGATTTCCACACGTCTTGGTATGAGTGATTTCTGCACATGTCTTGGTGTGAGAGTGATTTCTGCACATGTCTTGGTGTGAGAGTGATTTCTGCACATGTCTTGGTATGAGAGTGATTTCCACACGTCTTGGTATGAGTGATTTCTGCACACGTCTTGGTATGAGTGATTTCTGCACATGTCTTGGTATGAGAGTGATTTCTGCACATGTCTTGGTGTGAGTGATTTCTGCACATGTCTTGGTATGAGTAATTTCTGCACATGTCTTGGTATGAGAGTGATTTCCACACGTCTTGGTATGAGTGATTTCTGCACACGTCTTGGTATGAGTGATTTCTGCACACGTCTTGGTATGAGAGTGATTTCTG